TCCCTTGATGAGACCGCATTCAATGCGGTAAGGCTCGAAAATGAAAGGCAATAAATGCTCCTATTACAGAGCATTTATTGCATCCTCCCCGAGAGGAGCACATTGTACCGTCGGCATCCCGACGACCCAGCATTGATTGCTCGGGACCCCGAGCAGTTAATTAGAGAAGACATTCCTCATCAGAATCAATGCACACGCTACCTGAGCCTAATGATCACCTACTGACGACACTGACATCAATCATGAACTTTTAAGGTATAAATACTCCTTGCAAAAGGCAAAGCGGGTATGCAACAACAAACTCTCTACGACAAAACACACACAGTGTTTTCTCTATCCTCTCTCTCTCTCTCAAAGACTGACTAGATCGTCGGAAGGGATACGCCGGAAAACACTCCGGCGACCTTCTAACTTGTTCTTCTTTGTTCCAGGAACCTCTTCCAGCCTTACAGGATCGCTCTTCCTTTCCCAGGGTCTCCCGTTGCCGTTCCAGGTTACCACCGTACCTTGCAGGCTGTCCCAAGCAGCGTGTTTGGTCACTCCACCGGCTCACTCGAGTTCACCAGGGGAGAGATCTGTTCCCGTTTTTTATATTGTGCAGGATCTTGCACACACAGTTGGTTAGTCACACAACATGCGACAATTGGTTGTTTTGAAAAGAGAGTCATGTGGATTTAGTTTCAATGGGACATGAATTAATCCTCAATCTTAACTCTACAAGTGCAATCTCAAACTATTGAGGAAATATTTCCGAGAGAACATTGCTAGCATTATTGATTTACTGAACAAGGGAGTGTCTCTTGAAGAGATACTAATAGTAAGCAAAATTTCCAGATGTATTTCGAGAGGAGTTGTATGTGCTACCATTAGAGAGAGGTAGATCTTACATTTTTTTAGTAGCTCTGAGGTATTTCACTTATATTTATCTATACTAATAAGATAAAGTAGTTTTCAAATTTTCTAAATTGAAATCAATTCTCCCAATTTAGAAAAGTAGAAGGACGGTTAGGATTTAATTGAAATTTAAATAAACGATCCAAATCTCATACAAACCCACCTAATTAAATCCAGTGGTTCACAAGTAATCCCTCTCAAATCCCAAATCCCGCCCAACTTTACTAACACACACACACACACACATATCTACATCTCATGCACAGAACACACCATGACTCAGTCCACCACTAATGAATCCACCAGAGACGATCACCCACCCCAGACTAGATCATGTCTCTCCTCTTTCTCTTTCTTCAGTAGCGTTCTCTCTCTATCTCACCTCTTTTCATCTCACGCACACAATGCACACATATTATGCACACACACACACAATGCACACACAAACCCACAACACACATCATAACCCTAAAATGATCCCTTAGTTATTTTAACTTAGGGTGATTAAGATGAAAATAGAATTAGAAGCGATCTGATTATGACTGCTAGGTAATTTTCAAAGAAAAGTTTTTCTAAATCAATTTTGTATTTTGAAAACATAGTTGAGTCACAATTAGACCCCTCTTTGAGCAACATCCTCTAGTGCTCAAGAGGATAAATTTTTGCATGGTTTTAAACTTAAAAAACTATAGGGATCGTCTTATGCTAGCTAGTCTTCCCTGAAGATGTCTCTTGATGATATAACATAAAAAGAGAAAAGCACACGGGGGATCAGTATAAGGCTCACTCTATGAGCTCGCTTGAGCGGTCTTCATGGTTGCTTGAGCTGTGTCCATGGTCACTCGAGTAGTCCTGGTCCTTTGCTGGTTTGAGACGTTCTTTTTCACTCCAATTCCAATCGTCCTAAGACTACCCTTCCACCGATCAAGCAATCGTTTGAGAATCTAAATTTTCTTGTTAACCAAGATTGCCCTTATTCTGAGCCTAGAAATAGGGAATGTCTTTCCTACACCTAGGGTAAGCCTCAAAGAGCTAGAAAAGACCAAAATATTTCTAGATAGCTTCAACCACAACTCTAGATCCCTAATCCCAAAGGCTACCATCTTGTGATTCCTATCCAAACTCATAACTTGGAGAAAAAGAACTTGTTTTGGTAAAGACCAACCCCATTGGAGTGTGCAAACTGAGAGTCTTGGGTGTAAAACCTTGAAGATTGTTAAAGGCCTAAATGAACCATATGGTAGGGAGTTCAAGTGAAACTAGTCATAACGTCAAAGAGATTCTTTCAGTGGAGAGATCTATGAAGGAAATGAGTATTTGTCTATGTGAATTGGTTGATGTATAAATCTCGAGTACTTGTGATTGACTTTGATTTTAGTGGATTATGCTTTGCTTAATCGAGAAAGTTTCTCGTGGTTTTTCTCGAAAAGGGTTTCCACGTCAACAAATCAATTGTGTTATTTATTGTTTTTACATATACACTTGTAATTTGATGCACACATGTGTACTTTGTATTTGATGAATTGATTGTCTGAATCTACATATCACATATAGTTTCTTATTTGGGTTTGGATTCCCTTGGGCGGGATTGCCATGTGAGATTAAGTGTTTATCAACTAATTGATAAAATCACTACACTAATCTACATGAGTGTTTTGAGTTATGATTTAAAAAGGATTCTCACTCAAATTGCTATATCATTGTGAGATGAGGTAATTGACGTAGTTATAGGTTAAAATTGGAGGTCATCCAAACTTAATTTTAAATTAACCTATTGACCCCCCCTAGGTCTAGCGAGCAATTCCTTGTGTATAATCAAGTGAAAATACCTATAAGTGAAGTGCTGTATTTTTTTCCCACAATTGGTATCAGAGTTATGTTTTCCTTGAATTGCAGTTAGTGTAGGCATTCATTGCATATTTGCCTAATTGACCTAGTTTTTGTGATTTGAGATTCAGTATAACTAACGATTGGTTATTAATGGATTCTCAAAAAAAAGGAGGTTCAATAGCATGACCATCGCTCTTTGATGGTACAAACTATGCATATTGAAAAGATTGAATGAGGGCATTTTTAAAATCAATTGATGAGAGTGTTTGATTTTGTGTGCTAGAGGGTTGGAACCCTGCCATCACATGGTTGAAGGTGGTGAAGCCGTTGTTGAACCAAAATTCCTAAAGACTTGGTCTAAAACTAAGTACAAGTCTGGGAGGCGTACATTATAGTAGATACCATACTAGGCTTTGGCTCACCCTGTCGTGGAAAAAACATTTCAAGTACAGTTAATGCTTCTGTGGATGGTTTACATTTGAGCCCAACTTAAGGATAGGGCCAAATTTGGTGCTCTTGTTTTGATGGATTATATACTTCTAAGTCCCACTTGTATTTAATTGGATAGCCTTGTATTTTGGTTTATACAATACATGTATATTATTCCATAAAGGCTGTGATATGATAAAAATTGTATCTATTCTTTTAACTAGTGAATGACATGTACAACTGAGCATGTAACCGCTAATTTAAAGACCTTACATGTTGGCTTATGGATTTGTGACTTAATGTTTAATGCATGGGATTTTGCTTAAATATTTACATTGGACCTTGTATGGTCATTGTCACATAGTAGAGATAGGTTTTGTTTTGGGTGGAGCTTTCCGTACAAAAGAGATTTTGCTAAAATTTCATTGGAATTGATCCTCCGGAATCAAGGCCTTAAGTTAATTAATAAGGTTTAACGGATAATAAGGACACCGAAGGCCTTAAGTTAATTAATAAGGTTTAACGGATAATAAGGACACCGAATTATGGAACGTCACATCCACTCTCTCTCGAATATTCTTCAGTAATATTCCTTGCTATTTTCTAGGCAGTCTACCACTCAGGGCGCTTTGAATGGCGATCATGCTCGCGAGTGCCATCTCTTCTTTTGTACCAGTGGTCGACAGTGCCCCGCTTGTGTTTGGAAGGATGAGGTTCTCTGGCTCTGGTTCCAATGTAACCCAACCCTTGTGGTACTTCGTACTCTAAACTCTTCAATTCTTCATTTTTCTACCTTAGCCTTTCTTCTTCTTCCTTTGTCCTTAGTAACATGGCACCCGGAGCATAAATTAAGTCCTCACTGGAGTTCATTAATTTCATAAAGGCAGAGATTTCCCTGTCGGTTCGATCGGCTCGTAACGTTGCTTAGACATATGCTCTTGGTCTTCGGTCTTTTTGTCATTGGAACTTTTGGTCACACTATCTCTTGTGTCATTATCTGAGGGCATTGACACCCGATAGTTACACTAGGGATCATACTCTTTGGGTATTTAGTCATTGTAGTGTAATCCCAATGTGCTCCGTAGATTTGATATGGTAAAAGTCATTCGTTTCCCATAGATAGCGCCAATATATGTGGAAAAATTGTGTTACTTGGTTTTGATGAGAATACTGGTGGTTAATACAACTCAAGGGAATGTTTGATTGAATTGAGTGTACCTTCCTCCCTACAAAATGTACAAACTACCACAAAATGAGGTTTGATCAACCGAAGACACTCCAATGCTTAGACCAATTAGGATTCTAAAATTAAAAAAACAATTAGCAAGGAAAGTGTATACCTTTGACTTAAGCTCATTCTCTATTTATAGGAGTGTGTACCCATTTTTTAAGGTTTAGAATCATGGCTGGAATAGAGTGGAACCACCTATTTTCTAGTCTGATCTTCCCAAATTCATGATTGAACCTTTGCAAGTGTCCTTTCTCATTAGTGTATTTTTTAGGCACATGTTTACAATGTGCACTTTTCAAATAGATAGTTTTCTTATTGTTTGCTTATGAGCACCTCTGGCCGGTCACGATAGCCTAGCTATTTGCTATGGACCTAGTCATTATTCCTTGAATTTTGAAATTAGAGTCTCACTCGTATATGCTCTCTTTCTTGTGTTTGGTTGGTCTTTAACCAATGCTCAGCAATTGTACAAATCAAATCATTTGATAGGGGAGATTCCAATTCTAGTCAACTAGCACTAATATCTGTTCGGTTCGACTACCCTTGGTTTCGTCAAAGGCACTCTATTTTTATCATATTGTCATTTCTTACTTGTGTTACGTCTTCATTAAATGGTCTAATCATGCACAGGAATATTCTGAACTCCTCCAATATACATCCCAAATGAAGTCCCCTTCAAGCAAGAAAAAATGCAAAAACAAATTCCAATTTAAAAAGTACTTAAACAATTTTAAAAAAAATGAAGAAATACTTAAAAGCCACCATATGGTACCTTATTTTCCTCCTTAATTCTTCAATTAAGAATTTTACATCGTGGTGGTAATGCTAAATATCTTGGTGTGACTATGTGGGATTTGTCATAGCACTTGCCAATATGTTTCGGAGGTGAAAAAAAGAAACATTAATTAGAAATATTAATTGGATTTGTAACCCTGACTCTCAATTTTATGGTACTAAATTGAAGGCAGAAGTAGACAAGAAAGTTAGTAGTGATCCGTGATCCAGTTCCAACTTAGAATTAAAGGGTAGATTTTACTAACATTTTCAATGTCCCTGAAATCTTATGATAAAAGGCACAAAAGGACAGTGTCCCATATTTATTGTAAGATCTCTTTTTCTTTGTTTTATTTCTCTCCTTCCTCAAGTTCCCAAGCTGCTACTCTTCAAGTCCATAATAACATTACTAGGTTTTCCCATTCGAGGTCATATAATTATGGACACTACTAGGAATTGAAGAGGATAAGGTCAATTCGATGCAGTTGCAGCAAACATTCCTTCTGGTGCCAGAAATTTCGAGGTCTCTACCACCATTCAAGAGCCTATTTCTCCTTTTGTTGGGAACTCAAGCTACTTAGCCCCCACATTAGTAGAAGTAAGCAGCTGAGTTACCCCACTAATGTGTTTTATAGTAGGGTACAATGGGCGAGCGAATTAGTGAAGAGGCTTAGGCCAATAGAAAAGGTAGTATCGTGCGTAGCATTTTACTAACTACAAAAGATTACCAGTCTCTTAGCTTGACTTTAGGTTTGTAATATTTATTTTGAAGCAATCCAATTATGTAACAAAATTTGGGACACCAACAAACTCTTCTCCATTGCTTAGAGAGCCAACATACATTACAACATTGCTACACCGATCAACTTTTTACCAACTCCATGTGGACTAGATAGATTAGGTGGTCTCACCCAGTCATTCAATAGTTGTGGTTGTGCCACGTCAATCAATCGGTAAGAAAAATTGATAATAGTCATGTTATTGGAGAGATTAATGTAATAACTCTAAACTCACGTAATAAGCAATTAACACAGGAAGGGACACAATTGTGCCGAAGATGACCCTGAAATTGAATAGCACAACAATAAGAGTCAAATTTGAATACACAATTGTCAATTTTATTCTTCTATTAAATTTTTTTGTATTTATTTAAAAGAATAGAATTTGTAATATGAAATAATGACTATTTTATTTTAAATAACTTACACTGTGCTCAGTACATTTGCATGCAAGCCATACTCTTTGGCAAAAAGGAAGGAGATGACGGCCTGTGGCAATGCTGCCTGTAAAAACAATAAACAATGAAATCAACCAAGAATATTCATAATGTTGTCATATTATAAGTAGTGGTTCTAATACAGGGAGAAAAAAAAAAAGAATATAAACGATATCATAGCTGATGGTTAGTCAGAAATATGAGGTATAAGAGATATTCATTGAAAATTAATGGAATTTACAATCTGCTTAGCACGCATGTTACGGTAGGAAAAAGACAGGTTCAATAGTTACTTTTGATATGTTAAAAAAATATATATACCCTGTCAAATGTATTACTAGGGTGATGCAGGGTTTGAGCCACTAAGCCTTTTTGACGACCTAACTAATTCAGATTTTAAACCTAAAAGAACAGGAGAATTAGAATTCTTGATCTCAAGAAAATAAGTCTTTATAAGAAAAAGAGTATTATTAGACTAAAAACTCATTAATTACAAAGTTCACGCTAACTCATATTGCACAAGAAGAAATTTTCCACCCTTTTTTATCTGATGCCCAAAAATAACCGCCAAATCACATCAAATTATGATTTAAAAAGTTAATGATAACCCAATAAATTGATTTATAATCGATTAAAGTTAATAATAACCCGCCAAATCTCAATTTTTTACGATCAAATTTAATATTTATAATTTATATTAATCACTCTTCAATTAAAAATAAGAAACCTCTCTCCATTAACTCTCCATTAATTTAAGCGAGTGTAATTTCCTGACATTCGTTTTCTCTTCAATATCTTTTTTGACAGATTATCTATAATATATTTAAAGTGAGACTCATTATATATAGATAGACTTGTATAACTGACTAAACAGTTAAGAAAAGTTTTCATTGCGTTGAGTTGAATTGAGCTATGATGATTTTTTAAGCAAACTTTTTTTTTTTTTCCGGTTCACACTTCAAGCAGGCTAAAAAGGTCGCTTTTCATTTCTATTTTAGCAAGAACATGTTTGTGATGATTCTCAAGATGATTAAATGTCAGACTAACAAGGTCCTTATGCAATGCAAGTTGGGATAATTATATACCTGGATTATAGAAACACTTAATACATCACCTCGCAAGCCTACGGCAAAAGAACCAATAGCCATGGTGGCTGGTGCGCCAACAAATCTCAAAATCATCCCAAACATAGTCAAGCTAGCACCACAGGCGATTATATTTTCTTGCAAAGCCATGAACAACCCTGCAGCAAACCCTAGCAAATCATATTATATATGCGAACTAATGAACTATGTGCAAATCACCTTTTTTTTTTACTTTAATTTAAATGTAAAAGAAAAAAGTGTTAAAAAAATCTATTGTGGTTAACATATAAGCGAGTAATCCAAAAGTTTGTTATGTTTTTTTTTCTTTTTGAGTTCTCAAAAAATGGGTAAAGACAAATGAGAGTATATAGAGACTACTCTAATTATAGCTTAAGACACACTCGGAGTCTACCGCATGAAAGAGTAGCTCAACGCACCGTATTCTATCAAAGAAAATACAAATCCTCTTTGACCCGAGTGAGATTACATGCAAATAACTTTATTATTCGTAGGTACTTTTTGGCAATTTTTTATCTAATATATTTCTTTGTTGAATCATTTTCTTTATCATTTGTGTAAATGGGTTACATCTCCAATTGGGCATTCATGCGTAGGTAGGGATGATGCACTGACCCATACTAAACATGCTAGCTCCAGCCCCAGCTCTTGACAGGATCAATATGGATCCTTCCACTATGCTCGGCATTTTAAGATGCCACCTAAAACTCATACAGAAAATAAAACACCAGTATTAGCTTGTATTAAGAATGTTCTTACACCCCAAGGAAATACATACCTGTTTGATACAAAAGCCCAAGCGAGGCCAAGAATACAGGCATAAGAGTTAGGGTTCTTGGCTAGTTTTAGCCACACTATCTTCATCATCAACCGGAAAGATGGATTTTCTCTCACCACGAAGTTGGTGCTTCCTTCCAAATCTTTCCCAGCTGATTCTTCGTGAACATCGTCAGAGTCTCTGGTTATCTTATTTGTCGAAAAACCAATCCTGGTACGTCTCAATTCTAACATGAACAGTATGACCATAAGCCATAAAGTAGACTGCATCACTGAGGACTGGATAACAAGATCCATACCCATCTGGCCATACATGGCTTTCATTAGAGGAACCCCAACAACCAAAGTGTTATTTATTGTAGATAAAGAGAAGCTTGTGATGGACCAAGAATAGGTTCCATGGCCACTGCAATTTGCCCATAAGGCAAGAGCTAAGAGAACAAGAGACTTGGAAATGACGTCAGCCGCGATGAAGAGATAATTCATTTTAAACGGATTGACATGGGAAGTGAACTCGAAGTTGAAGAGAGGGATGATGAAATAGCTGGCAAAGAGGTTTATGGCATCGCACTGTTCAGGTGTAAACATGTGCCACCACTTCACAGAGCCATACCCTAAAACCAGAGGCACGTAGAGTGGCACCATGGCCACCACCACCTTGTAAAAATCTTCCCACCCAATCATCTTTGCTAACTATATGACAATGTCAATCTCTTCAGAGTAAGCTAAGGCCTACTCTGGTTCTATGTGTGTTTATTGTTCTACACTATGCTGAAAGTTTACCCGAATATATATATTGACAAGAAAAATACTAATTGATTCTAATTTGGGCACCTAATCAACCATAAGTTTTAGATTGAAAGTGTGTTGAATATAACATCGAAATTCACACCTAATCTAATGATTATATTGAATTCGGTCCTCAAATTAAATTCCAATAAAATTGTTCGATTGATAGTGTTAATGGGCAAGTGATCCTTACCTTTCGGGATGTGAGGAATTTTTTCGTGTACTTAATATCTCTGACTATGAGAAAAGTAATCTTATTGGTAGATTAAATAAGTTGAGCAATCGTCTCTTCTCTCTTGAGACATCCTCTATTTGTTTATCGGGTGTGGTTTGAGCTTTAATGTAATGCATCAGGATGATTAATCCTTGTCTCTTGAGACAACATATCTGCTACTACCCCACTTGACTAATCCTTCTAGACACGTATAATCCTCCTGTTTGACATACATGCAATTATTAGGATGAATCACTGTTCGTGGTCCCAAAAAGGAAATTGAACTTGGCAACTCACGGTTTATTAAGTGGGCACCTGTTAAATTTGTTTATTCCCTGGGTTCACTGAATTTATCTCAACCCCATGGAAGCACATAAGTTTAGCTCCAGTAATGCTGAGAAATGCGCTCAACAGAAGAATGGGTGGTATCAGAATATTTTATTTATTGCTGCAAGAAGTGGAGTCCCCACATACTCTATTCGTATGCATTTAAGAGAACAAGTCTAAGTTGTTTGATCTTATTAAGTGGAGAGAGAATTCAACTTTGTCACGTCTATACATTCCCATTGATTACAAATGCTGTGCTCTCTCTCTCTTCCAGTCCCCCATTACTGAGGACTAAATTGGGTGTTAGTTTCGTATAAAGAAATTTCAAAGTTCAAGTATTGAAAATGTATCAAGATCCAAGATTAAAACTAGTATTAATTCTAAATCTCTTAGAAAATTTTTTTTTGTTTTTTTTTTTTTGTTTTTTTTTTTGATGTACACAATCAACAATATTGTGACAAAATTTTCATTCATCTTATTGCAAGTCTAGTTGAGATTATCTTTCATCTTTTTGTAAAATTGATTATAGAAGAACATAAATACTTTTCGGTCAGGGTATTTTATAATTTTCATCTAATTGTGATTTATTGGATAAAGGCCACTCATTTACCCCCCCCCCCCCTCCCCCCACCCAAAAAAAAAAAAATCAAGGGCAACTATACAAATGTTATTTAAAAAAAATAGGGGACAATGTATTAAACCATAGAGTTATGAGTTATTTTCGTTGGTCAACATACATAACTGTTAGAACATTTCACATATATTTCGGTCATCATTATTTTACTGAACTAGGGGCTAGTGTGCCACTAACTTAGTAAAAAGAGTGCCACTAACTTAGTAAACATGTAAATTTTTAAAAATTTAAGGGGAAATATATTAAATTCAATATAATTTTGGCTACATAAAACAATACATGTTGATGGTTTGTTCAAAACTAAGGGTGGGAAGGCGCCCCTCCACCACCCACAAAAGTTAGGTCCGCTGTTTGTTTGTGACATAAAGGTTTTGTTGCCCTCTCTCTCCCTCTCTAATTACTGTATTCTGAAAATTACAGCAATAAATACCATCGGAGAAAATCATTTGAGGAAAACAAAAATACTTTAGAAACATAAGTTTTTTCACTAAGAATTCCTATATAAGAAGTTCTGGCGGTGGCAGTGGAATTATATAAATAAAAATATGTGGGCGTTAATGTTACTTACTTCTGAAATATAGAAGTAATTAGTGGATGTCCCACGCGATGCACAAAATTAATAATCCGTCTTGTTACGACTTCATTTTCATCCTTCTAACTTTCATTTTTTTCCATTATATAACATGTGTAATTCTTGAATTATTAAAGTTTATTGGGGATCGAAATTGAATATTTAAAAATAAAAATAAATAAGGAGTGGTTAATTGGTAATAGTGAAAAGGTGGTTATATTAACCATGCGTCAATTGTTGATTGGAGAAGACCTAACTTCATAATTAATTAAAAAAAATATAAAAATTTATTAAATAAAAGGCTTCCCAAGTGCTCTCTCACAAAAAAATGTTTGTTTTATTTATATAGACAATTGACAGTCCCGTGCAGTGCACGAAATTTGCACACATCCCCTTTTCTGCACGCTATCTTTCCCTTTTCTTTCTTTCTTTCTTTCTTTCTTTCTTTATATATATATTGTCATCATGCTTTTTGAAAAATTTGTTAGAAAATTATGAAAAATTAGAGTTATAATATAATTATGAAAAGTTTGGGTGATAAAATTATATTTTTAAAAAAATTCAAATTATTGACTTAGTTTTTAAAAAAAAACTTTAAATCAATGGTGGTTGAGTAATGGGGTAGTTATACGAGATGTGTTATAATATAATTGATTAAAATCATGTGTGATAATTAAATAATTAAAAATTCTAAAAAATAAAAATAGGAGAGAAGGTTTCTCAAGCCACCTCTCATCTTATTTGATTGTTTTATATATACCGTATAGATTGGAGAACCATATAATGTCATATATAAATTTCAATATAAAATTTGGTTTTAATAGCATTAATGTTGCTGAAATTGCAATGACGGGGACTGCAATTTCTTCGCTCACACCCACTTAACTATATTCCTAAAGTATTGTTTTGGTGCGATGCTGAATGTGCTGTTTGCCACTATGGCTAATGCCATTACTTCATGTATAGAATAATTTAAGGATAAAATTATGAATAACATTAAGCAATTATAACTTCACCTTTACAAGTGTAATTCAACCATTAAAAATTATAATTTTTGATACAATAATGAATTTTTCATTTGGTAACATACCACTACCGATTCAATGCACAAAAATATGCTTAGTCACAACTCACAAGGCTATTTTTAAGTTCGATAAGTAAAGTTTTGGCGAACCAACGTGATACATGGAATTTGCGCTTCACCCACGCCACCCACCCTGGCATCCATGCAAGACCCATAATCCACCTAAGTCACCTCCATCCCATTCGGTATTTGTGGAAAACTATTAAGTAGTTGGTCACACACCATCTTGAGACGGGTAATAATTTATAATATAAAATACGATAGACTTCAATAAATCTATTTGACAGTTTTAAATAAATTCATATAACGGTTATCAATGTTCCTTTTAAATTTTCACTGTGCCTGGTTAGATGGACAACATGAAGGAATCCTAATCCAAAAAATTGATAATTAAACAAGGGGGGGGGGGGGGGGGGGGAGGTTCTCTCCATCTAAAGGCATGGGGGAAATTAGTTTTTGCTCATTCCTCTTTTTGAACTTAAAAGCTATCAGGACTTCTCTTTATAGAATACTAACGATCGTTTTGTGCAATGTACAGAATTTGTAATATTTTTTCATCGTTACCACAACTGGTACTCCCATGCCACCGTTACTTATACCCTTACCTCATCCTAACATTATTAAAAAATTATTTATTGATTTGTTAAATTGATATTTTACAAAAATTTAAATGTAAAGTATCAACAAAGATGATGAAAAATTAAAATGTGCAGCAGGTATCAAAAAGTTAGAAAGTAATTACATAGGATACATAGTGGAATTCAACTGAGGGAGACTAATTAAATAATTCAAAATTAGGAGAAAAAAGAATTTAGGGAGGAAAGACTTCTCAAGTGGTCTCCTTCTTATTTTGTTTGTGTATATATAAATCTTTTAGTGACAACTTTTTTATTGTTATTGTTATTGGGCCGCGGCAATATTGTTGTGACTAAATAATTTAGCGATGACATTTTTAATGTTGCCACTAAAAGTTAAATTTTTAGTTTCAATATAAAAAATGTCACTAAATATGAAATATCTAGCTACAATAATGATTATAGTAAATTAAGGTAATTTTGTCACTAAAATGTACTTTATTGCCACAAAAAAATTACAATAAAAACTTGGCTTTTAATGGCTACAATTAGTCGCCGTAAAAATTTCATTGTTTAGCCACAATGAAAATCGCCACTAATACATTTAATTTCTGAAAAAAAAAATGAAAATCGCCACTAAACTCATACTTTTAGTGGCAACTTATCGTCATGGCTAAAATTTTAAAATGAATAAAAAAATGAGTTTTATTGAATATTTTCCAATTCACATACCTAGCACTAAACAAAAAAAAATAACATATGCAATAAATAAACAGTAGTATAATCAACATTTGATACGGTAAAAAATATATTTCCAAATCAATTAACATGAAAATAATATTCTAATATGTATCATTTAATTGTACTTGTGTACAATGCATTACAATAAAAAAAAAAAGACACTAACGAAAAATGTAATGATCATTTGACTTTTGAAGAGTTATGCATCGTACATGCTAGCCTGCAAACATAAAAAATGAGATATTGTCAAGTTATTTTCATAATGTAATAACTGTTAATAATCTAATATCCCAATTTAGTCAACAAATTATGTATTTGGTATAAATTCTTGTTTAAGTTGTCTTAATCGTGAACATAGTGGAACTTAACGCAAAGACCACAACAAAGTTTTGCCCTAGAATCAATAACAGTAGCTTTCATTAGTTTAAAACCACAAAAAATCACAGATTGATCTCAGTTCTACAGTGAATTTAAACTAAACTGAAATCAACATGCCAAAAAATACCTTGCATATTCACCTTTAGTCTTAGGAGGTGAGGCTTCAGGAGCTGTTTCCAGAGCTTTCATTTGTTTGTACATCAGAGACAAACCCAAAAACTGCTAGAAACCAAGTATTCTCCTGGAAATATGAATATATTGTGCATCAGTCTCATTAATCAGTAAGTCACCCTGGCTAGGTCTGAAGCCAAGTCACTAAATCTATTAACAAGATCCATTGTTTCAACATATCACACCTAGAATTTTGGTTT